ACTTTAAAAAAAGCAATATCAGATGAGAAGGCCAGAGTGAGATAAAGCATTTCGGTCCATTAAGTCATATACGTCTTAACTCGATACCGCGACTGGACCTTTTCAGTATGACGGCCGTAGTACCAAATGAGGAAAAGAAAGGTGCAAAGGTTGCTAAACCATCCCACCAAGTGCATTCAGTAAGCACTGGCCACCTTTTCTAAGTGTAACTGTACTCTCCGATGAACATCCACTTTGTTGTCAGTTTCTTTCCCTTTAATACCATGCAAATTCTGTGATTTCCACTATTAAAAAAAAAGTTAAAAGTTATTTTTAGAAAAATTGATCGGGGCCGATCATTTCGCAGCAATATTATTGAAACGCAAAATAGAATTGCTACAGTTTCCGCATACTAATGACTTATCACCCATAAGGCAACACGAGAACTAAAATTCAATTAAATGATGAAAAATTTAACGATTTTGCTAGGATCAAAGCTAGACTGTAATGATTCCTTATCCTTACACAGCCAAGGAACCCAAATTTCAGCCTGCCAGCTCTAGTAGTTATTGCGATAAACAACAAAATAAAAGCAAATACATGGATTTTCGTTTTAATATATGTACGCTTAAAAAATCATTACTTGAAGTTTTTTGATGCCATAAGCAACAGGTAGAACTTTTGCAGTTCCCCAAACAAGGCCATCCGTTTCGATGGCACGAATATTTTTCTCGATATCGGCCATTTCAATTGAATCATCCCACGGTTTCACATCGAAAATAATGTTCGATTTTGCAACCGATGCTGGCTTCTTCGCTTTCCTCTCCTCATATGCCTGCAACATAAATTAAAAGTGCACTGTTTAACTATTCCAGCGAATTTTTTTTTTTATATCTAACAAATATACAGAATAGCAATATTAACAACAACTCAGTATACTCCAAGAAATGTTAGACTGAATAAGGCAAGAATGAGAGACAACACGTGGACAAAGCGAACTGCTGATCAGTTACCAAGCAATGACAAAGGGAACACAGAAATCGGCAAATACAATGGGGATCTGCCGGCACATCTGACTGTGCGTATGACCGCCAGAACAGGCTTAAAAATGCAAAAAAACTTGCGACGCATTTAATAATCCTAACAACATCACACCTATTGCGTTTTAGTGGAGGGGTCCGGTAATAATCAATAAGTACCATAAACGTCATGAAATCTCGCTAAATGCTTCTGCCGCTAGGAAGGATGATCTGGTAATTCATTCACACGCAAAGCATAGTTCAGCAATGCCGCCAAGTTGTTCCATCTTGTGAGAGATCAAATATCAAAGGAATTGGGAGAGTTGACAAATACACAGTTGAAGAGACAGACCATAAATTAGGGCTGAATCAGGCTGGTCGAAGAAACAGAAACTCTTCCAATCCAGAACTATTCTAAGACCGAAGAGCTACGGCGCATCAGTTTTTCTTTTCGGGATGAAATAAGAGGTGCCCACAGATTTCCGGGAACTTAGACGAGCATTGGAGAGATTTTAAGTGAAAAAGTGTCTAAACATAAAAATGAGGAAATGAGGCATCAGCCAGCATTCCACACCTCCCCCCTGAAAATGAGGCGTGCAGGGGAATCTTGAAAGACGAAAAATAATCGCAGTTAGGGTCAGAGAGACGAGAATAGGAGCCTAGGATAATGAAGCGTAAGGCTCCGGGTGAAGAACAACAGTAGACCCTCGAATATTCCCCAACACAACAAGGAAACGAACAGAATATGACCCAGAAATCAGTATCATCACCTTACCATCTTTTTTTGATTAGCAGAAATAATAATAAT